ACAGCATAAACCACCTCTTGACGCCCTGAGCTTTCGGAAATGGCATGCTTCGATTTCGGTTTCCTAGACATTGCACCTCACCGCTCGCATACTTTATTCTCGGTATTCGGCTGGTTTGTTAAATTTTTTAGGATTTTAGCAAAGCCGTTTCGTAATTTACGGCACTCGAATGTTCAAAGTACTTTAAAAATATCGCATGATTTTCTTATTCGTCAGAAAAAGTGATGTCGGCGAAACGACAACCAATTTATGAAGAAAAAGCAGTTGAAAAGAAAAAACGTAGGAAGACGCAGAAAACGGGAGGAACACGCGGCCCACATGTTCAAGATGATGACAGTGCTGGTAGTTCGGGTATGTTCATTAAAAAACTTTCCTGGAGTACTGCGATTAGCCGCAGTTTCGTCGTTTTATTTTCTAATCATCACTAATTCAGCTGCCAACATCGCCTTCCTTTTTTGATTTTTTTCTTCTGCATTATTTTAAAAAAAAAGGAAATCGTTCGAAGGGTTCGCACAAAAAAAGAACTAGGTCAGCGATTTGTCGAGAATGTGAGATAACGAATGGAGAATCAGAGAATGGTACTCACGCAGTGTTAGAGCGGGGCAGTGAGCACAAATCGTCCTTTCTTGTCTTCCAACATTGCTTGAGTACCATTCAGTGATTGTCCATCCGTTGTTTCTCATTCTTGACCTATCGCTGAAGCAGTTCTTTCTGTTAATGTACATTTGCCTCAATATCGATTACGCAGGACCTAATATGGAAGAGCAATGAAATACATAAATTTTAACGCATCTAAGATCATATGAATTATATGGTAAAGCTCTAGGGCTTCAGTCGTTTCAATCTGTTCTAACAACTAAGGTGTTACTTACAGCTGAGGTATTACTTACAACTGAGGCATTACTTACAAGTCCCAAATGCATCTGTAAGGCAAAATTCCCTCGAACGAATGTATTTCTTTACCGCAGTGCTGGCATATGTCTTCGGCATTCTGGATACTTTTTCCCAGAATAAAAATATAAATTCTTAGGAATTGAAGGAGATTCGAGTGGTTACGAACAAGAAGTTTCGGCGCTAATTTCCAATATGATTGTGAACACAAACTGGAGGAAAGAGGTATAATTTTTCAGTAATTACACCTTTTTTTAAAAGTTCTTTTTTTTTCATTCAACGGAATTTGATGAATCCACACGCAGAAATTGCTTTTTCTCTGGTTTTGTATTTCACTAAGGAAATGACCCTTCTGCCCTTATAGAACGATAAACAGAACGATCGTGACTGTTAGAATACATCGTATATGGGAAGTTTTCGAGTGTGATATCCCATCGATCGATTAATGTTTGCCCCAAACTTTAAAAACTTTGAAAATTTAAAATTACATTCTTACACTCTACAAATTTAAAAAACTTCAAAAATTACATTCTTTATTATAATGTTCTGTTATGGAGGTTGGAAGAGAAATCGTTCATAGGGGAAGATACTTTACGGTAAATTATTGGAACCATTCGGCAGCCCATATAGGGTTTCCATGTTTATGATGCTATTGGAATGCTTCTATATAACGGGTGCAATTGAGCCCTGCCTTCTGTTTTCGGGTACAGAACCGTAGGTGATGCTAAAAACTGAGTTATTAAAGTGTACAGAATTTGCTTAAAAGGATACGGAATTCAGTTGGAGGAGTAGATTTGAGTGAATTTTTTAACCATCACGAATTTTTTGCAAATAATTTATTAAAAAAGAAAAAAACTTATCGTCTAAAAAAATATTTTTGCACAGTATTTAAAAAATCCCACAAAAAGCGCTTATTTTTAAGAAAATTTTTATCAGACATTCCTCAGAAATATTTATTTTTCCAAAAAAAAAGTGTTACAAACATGTCGAACAGACGGTTGGCATTAGCTGGAGATAAGCCGTTCTGAATCATGGGGATTAGTGTAGTTTATGGAAACATTCTAGCAGCGTTATTGATATGGGACATCTGTTCTTGGCAGTTTTGTTGGTTTTTAATATTTAATTATTGCAGGTGCGTGATTTGTGGTCAAATTCACCGCCAAATTTATTCGCGGAAAAAGATTTTAATAAGCGTATTTCCTGCAAAGCACCGCACTGTGCCGTATGCCAGTATTTTGTCCCCAAACCATTAATGGAAAAGAAAAAGACACTGCCGATGAAGTCAGTTACTGAATTTGTTGTTTTGCAGCGCATTCATTGCGTTTGTCATTTTTTTATACACAATTTTGAATGAATTCTTACCTAACTTGAACTGAATTAGTTAATTCAGACTACGTTTAGATTAAATATTTTAAAAAAATATGTATGAAAACTTCACTTCTGTATGCGGTTTCCAGATCGAAACGTCTTGTGAAACGTTCATATTATGCAAAATCAAATCCAAATACCTACAGTATCGAAGAAGAGGACAGCAACTGTGAAGATCGACTATTCAGATGTGCAAATTGCCTGGTGGTAGTACACGAAGGATGCTATCCAA